ACGACCACACATTTACACAAACACGACCAGGTTTGTGTATACAGTTTTCATCCAAAACAGTTTAACTAATCACATGAAAATAATAAATATCTTCTCTACCTGACACGCACACACGCACGCCCGCACGCACACACACACATACTATCAATGTGTGACACGCACACAATTCACACAACACGCACTTACGTCAGACCAGTCCTGGAATATGCAGTGTAGACAGAGTGGGTTAATCCCTGGGGATTTATGGACCAAGGTCACGCTTGCAAGCGCCTATTAGTCTAGAATTGGAGATTGTTTGTCTTGAGGTTTAATTAGTTCCCCCTGAAGTAGTTGAATGGGAACTGTTAGCAGGAGGTGGTCTTGAGGTGGCCCTCCCTGCTTTGGGGGAGGATTTGGGGGGGGGGGAGTGTGTGGTTGTGTTTGTGTTCGTGTTTTATGGTAATGTTTAACACACACACACACACACACATATACACGCAGGGGTCTCGTGGCTGAGTGGACAGCGCTTGAGGGGGGGGGGGGGGTCGTCGTCCTAATGGCCCGGGTTCGATTCCCGGCCGAGGCAGACGCAAATGGTCAGAGTTTGTTTCACCCTGATGAAAATAGGTACCTTGGAGCTAGATAGCTGCTACGGGCTGCTTTCTTGGGATGTGTGTGTGTGTGTGTGTGTGTGTGTGTGTGTGTGTGTGTGTGTGTGTGTGTACTCACCTAGTTGTGTTTGCGGGGGTTGAGCTCTGGCTCTTTGGTCCCGCCTCTCAACCGTCAATCAACAGGTGTACAGATTCCTGAGCCTATCGGGCTCTGTCATATCTACACTTGAAACTGTGTATGGAGTGAGCCTCCACCACATCACCCCCTAATGCATTCCATTTGTCAACCACTCTGACACTAAAAAAGTTCTTTCTAATATCTCTGTGGCTCATTTGGGCACTCAGTTTCCACCTGTGTCCCCTTGTGCGTGTTCCCCTTGTGTTAAATAGACTGTCTTTATCTACCCTATCAATCCCCTTCAGAATCTTGAATGTGGTGATCATGTCCCCCCTAACTCTTCTGTCTTCCAGCGAAGTGAGGTTTAATTCCCGTAGTCTCTCCTCGTAGCTCATACCTCTCAGCTCGGGTACTAGTCTGGTGGCAAACCTTTGAACCTTTTCCAGTTTAGTCTTATCCTTGACTAGATATGGACTCCATGCTGGGGCTGCATACTCCAGGATTGGCCTGACATATGTGGTATACAAAGTTCTGAATGATTCTTTACACAAGTTTCTGAATGCCGTTCGTATGTTGGCCAGCCTGGCATATGCCGCTGATGTTATCCGCTTGATATGTGCTGCAGGAGACAGGTCTGGCGTGATATCAACCCCCAAGTCTTTTTCCTTCTCTGACTCCTGAAGAATTTCCTCTCCCAGATGATACCTTGTATCTGGCCTCCTGCTCCCTACACCTATCTTCATTACATTACATTTGGTTGGGTTAAACTCTAACAACCTTTTGTTCGACCATTCCTTCAGCTTGTCTAGGTCTTCTTGAAGCCTCAAACAGTCCTCTTCTGTTTTAATCCTTCTCATAATTTTAGCATCGTCCGCAAACATTGAGAGAAATGAATCGATACCCTCCGGGAGATCATTTACATATATCAGAAACAAGATAGGACCGAGTACAGAGCCCTGTGGGACTCCACTGGTGACTTCACGCCAATCGGAGGTCTCACCCCTCACCGTAACTCTCTGCTTCCTATTGCTTAGATACTCCCTTATCCACTGGAGCACCTTACCAGCTACACCTGCCTGTCTCTCCAGCTTATGTACCAGCCTCTTATGCGGTACTGTGTGTGTGTGTGTTAGAGAGAAATATGTGTGTGTGGTAGATATAATAGAAGAAAGAATAAATTGGTTAGAAAGGCGGGGTCCAAGAGCATTCGACTCTGTAGACACAAATAGTAAATACTGTTATAATCGTCGTCTAATAACAGTCCTTTCCGACCTCAAGAGTAATTATTACCCACCTAGAAAGATCGCAGACGGCCCAAGCTGTAATTTAAGCTAAAAAAGGAACTCAATCTTGCATAATATTTGGATTTAAAGAGGGGAATTGTGGCAGATTGCGAAAAAAATGGCGCCCGGGCGGGCGGTAACACATCCGGGAACTTTTGGAGTGCAGCGACGCATGCCTAGAGCTCACACAACGAGAGAGGTGAGTGGCGGGGGGCTCAGGCGCTCAGCGAATCAGCGACGACCTTTCTGTGACGTCATCGGCGGGCACCGAGTCTGCCCCAGGGAGTGGAGCCCGGCTCACTGTTCGGCTAGACTTCAGGCGGGGAGGTTGTGACCTTGGGCGCTCTCCCGAGGATCGCCAGATTTGGATCTTAAGTGGCAAGTTGAGCCTTGGAGAGAGGCAACAGGACTCCGGCCATATTGAGGTGCCAAGGAGACCTTTCTGGATAAGGTCGAACGAGTATCGTCGACGAATGGACCAGTTGAGGGGGTAGAAGAGACTCGATAGCATGCCAGATTCAGTGGAGAAACAGCAAAACTTGTCAAGTTTGAACACACACAAACACGGCTATCTTGGAACACACACACACACTGCTATCTTTGAACACACACACACACACACTGCTATCTTGGAACACACACACACACTGCTATCTTTGAACACACACACACTGCTATCTTTGAACACACACACACTACTATCTTTGAACACACAGACACTGCTATCTTTGAACACACTCAAACACTCCTATCTTTGAACACACTCAAACATTGATATCCTTGAACACACACAAACACTGCTATCTTTGAACACACACACACACTGCTATCTTTGAACACACACACACTCTGCTATCTTTGAACACACACACACACTGCTATCTTTGAACACACTCAAACATTTCTATCTTTGAACACACACAAACACTGTTATCTTTAAACACACACACACACTGCTATCTTTGAACACACTCAAACATTTCTATCTTTGAACACACACAAACACTGTTATCTTTAAACACACACACACACTGCTATCTTCGAACACACACAAACACTGCTATCTTTGACCACACACAAACACTGCTATCTTTGAACACACACACACTGCTATCTTCGAACACACACACACATTCAGCCACTCCAAACTCCATATCAGCTGCCAGAAAGTTCTCCAGGTGAATGGTATTATCAGAGTTCCTTTGTAAGTGCTAAATAGAAGCTATATAACTGGCTGGAATCCGAAGGCCCCTTGCAAACTTGTCTATTTTTTACCTGAAGTTAAATTAGTGACCCCCTGAATGTGTCGGGGTGGTGAGGAGTCGTGTGGGCTCTTGGGCTGGACGGTAGAGCGACGGTCTCGCTTCATGCAGGTCCAAGTTCAATCCCCCCGACCGTCTCAAGTGGTTGGGCATCATTCCTTAACCGTCCTAGCCCAAATGTTTATATCTTGACCCCTTTCCAGTGGTAAATAGTCGTAATGGCTTGGCGCTTCTGATAATTCCTTTATTCCCAGGTTCTTTTTTCTAGTCATTATAAATAGGTAGTTTCCCTTCACTGTGTACTACCCATTTAGTCACTTCACCCTTGCTAATGTTTGTTTTGTTAATTATTTATTAACCGCAGTGTCTGAGCAGCGAAGCACCATTAGGTAAGCTTTTACGGGGCTATTCATGCCCGTGCCACCTCTTGGGGTGGCTTAATCTTCATCAATCAATCAATCGAGGTAACCTTTCACAATAATATTCTTGTGGTGTGAGGTTGCTAGGTTAATAAATACTGATTTTAGTCACTATGAGCGAGGGAAAGATGCACAGGCTTCGTAAGTGGAAATATAAATGTTTAATCAATCTTTAGCCCCTAGTGAGTTTTTTTTTCTGCACTCGTTAGGGACTCTTGAGAATTTTGTATGTTGTGATCATGGTCTCTCGTGTCTGTCTGTCTCTATCTTTTAACAATTAAATCTATTCTGCATTTATTTAATGATAGTTCTATTCTTTTGTAAAAAAAAGAATCTATATAACTTTGGTTTTTGCTCGCTAACTACTCGCTAACTACTCGATAACTGCTGACTAACTACTTGCAAACTGCTCTCTAACTGGCTGTCATCATGACCAAAGTTCACTATCACCCCTTTTGTCTGTACGGAATGTGGCAGATGTTTTCAAAGTGGATCTGACCTTTTAATTATTTTTTTATCCTATTTTATATATATATTTTTTTATATTCCTTACACGATAAAAAAAAATTAATTGAAATTTGAAAACTCCCCAAAAATTGTTAGCTAAAAGTATTTTTCTATTTTTTTCTATAAATAATCCTTTAATCCTTAAATAGGCCTTAAATATGCTTATAAATAGTCTATTAACGCAGATTGAGAGAACTGGGCTGTTTTACACCACCTCCATTACTTTTTTGTCCATATAATTTCTCTATTCCCCCCCCCCACTCCACTCCCCTCATACTCCCCCCCCCACTCCACCTTCCCCTACTTCCCCCCTACTCCCCCCACCCCACAAAAAATATTTTGATTTAATTCTTCAGTTTTACCCATTTCCTTCCCCATTCCCCACCACGCCTCCTCACTCCCATCCCCCCCTTTCTCCCCCTTCCCCCCATCCCCCCCTCCTCCCCCCCTTCCCCCCTCCCCCCGGGGAAAAACAGGAGTATTATGATTAAAATGCGGGATATTATTTTCTCCGTAATCATCGTTCAATTTTATTCTCAGCGGGAAAAGTTTTAATTCAATTTAGGTCACTGTGGTCCGGGTAGATTTAGGGTATGGGGGCGTGGGAGGGGGTGGGGGGGTTGTGGGGCTGGGAGTGTGGGGGTGGGTATGAGGTGGCTTGGGGCATGTGGGGGGAGGATGGTGAAGGTAGCCTTGGGGTGGGTGGGTGGGGGAGAGGGGCAGAAGAGGTCTTGACAGGGGCGGAGGGGGGTGGCAGAAGAGGTTTTGGCAGGGAGGAGGAGGGGGGCAGAAGAAGTCTTGACAGGGGGGACGGAGGGGGGAGAAGACGTCTTGACAGGGCGTGGAGGGGGCAGAAGAGGTCTTGACAGGGGGAGAGGGGGCAGAAGAGGTCTTGACAGGGGGGACGGAGGGGGCAGAAGAGGTCTTGACAAGGGGAGGGAGGCAGAAGAGGTCTTGACAAGGGGGAGGGAGGCAGAAGAGGTCTTGACAGGGGGGACTGAGGGGGCAGAAGAGGTCTTGACAAGGGGAGGGAGGCAGAAGAGGTCTTGACAAGGGGGAGGGAGGCAGAAGAGGTCTTGACAGGGGGGACGGAGGGGGCAGAAGAGGTCTTGACAAGGGGGAGGGGGCAGAAGAGGTCTTGACAGGGGAACGATGCTAGAGAGAGTAAGAAATCAGATCCCTTAAGATAAACAGACCGCCTTATATATATGCAAATGAAGCCGAGACTAATTTAAATGTGTAGCTTCTCTCATGTAATAAATGTGATATGTTACCCAGTAATGAGTATGCAAATGAGACCAATCATTTTTACTATTGACAGTTAACTGTATATAAGTTATTTATAAGTGATTTAAACTGAGCGATTAAGTTGAGAGCATGTCATTTAACTCTGTGAAAAAGGAATGGAATTCAATCAAGAATCGGAATCAATATTTTATCATATATATACAAAGGAATTTAATTACCAGGACCAGATTCACGAAACACTTACGCAAGCACTTACGAACCTGTACATCTTTTCTCAATATTTGGCGGCTTTGTTTACAATTATTAAACAGTTAATGAGCTCCGAAGCACCAGGAGGCTGTTTATAACAATAACAACAGTTGATTGGAACGTTTTCATGCTTGTAAACTGTTTAATAAATGTAACCAAAGTCGTTAAAGATTGAGGAAAGATGAACAGGTTCGTAAGTGCTTGCGTAACGGCTTCGTGAATCTGATGCCAGGACCTGAGAGAGAGGTCGGATCTATGTCATTGCTACTCTCTAAACACGAATATCAGCTGAATGGACAGCGCTTCGGATTCGTAGTCCTGAGGTTCCGGGTTCGATACCCGGTGGAGGCGGAGACAAATGGGCAAAATGTTTTTTTCACCCTAATGCCTCTGTTACCTAGCAGTAAATAGGTACCTGGGACTTAGACAGCTGCTACGGGCTGCTTCTTGGGGGATGTGTAACAAAAATTAGGCTGGTCGAGGACCGGGCCGCCGGGACGCTAAGCCCCGAAATCGTCTTATGATAACTTAAATATCCTAACCTCTCTTAGCCTACCCCTAACCTATCCTAATAAATCCAATCCTAAGATAACCTATCCTAATCAAACCTAACCTAACCTAACCAAATCTAACCTAACCTAACCTAACCTAACCTAACCTAACCTAACCTAACCAAATCTAACCTATTCTAACAAATCCTATACTAACCCTAACTTATCCTAACTAAACCTATCTTAACCTGACCTAAAGTGCCCTAACCTAACCAACCTCACGAAAAAACAATAAAATTTCTATTTTATATTTATGGTGCATGATGTCACTATGACGTCATAATTTTAATCCCCCCTCCTCCCACAGGTTTCGATTCCTATTGATGTCAGGCCCTAGACTGTGACGATTGGGCAACGTTTATCTTTACCTCATGCCTCGGTTCACCCAGCAGTAAATAGGGTACGTGTGATTTCGTCAGCTGTTGTGGGTGGTATACTGTTGAAGATCAGTATATAGTTGGCCTAGGTCTATGGGGTCTTGACAGGCCTAGCAGGCTTGCTGTCCCCGACTATGGAGAACAGTAACGTGAACAGGTCAGCTGTTCTTGACCCATATGAACCTGTCCTCCCACCTGACACGTCGCATTTCTTACGGAATTAGCAACGATTAATACACTATAATGCTGACGTTTTCTATGAATGAGCGTCGATAGGTTAGGCGGGTTGCCTGGGGTTGTACGTGTCTGGTGTGGCCAAATCGTTACCATTTTTTAGGGAGTGGGAAAATATAGAAAACGGGCTTGTTATTTTAGGGCAATTGCTTGGTAATTTCCTCTCAAAGGGGAAAAAATTACTCTTTTGAATGAGAGGGATCGTGGGATAGGAGGGGGGGGGGGGTAAGAATAGGGGTGTGGGATAGGAGTTGCTACGGGTTCTTTTATCTGGGGAAGAATGGTAATGATCCCCTGGGCGTCCTTAGACCTGGTAAGAATATATGGTACAGGAGCGGTGGCAGAGCGGTAGACTCGCTTCTTGCTGGTCAGCGTTCGAGCCTCCTAATGCTCCATTGGGTTGGATATCCCAATGGAGCATCAGCAATGGAGCTGGGATATGATAACTTTATATCCCAGCTCCTTGACCTCATATCCCAGCTCCTTGTCCTCATATCCCAGCCCCTTGTCCTCATCTTGAGGTTATCTTGAGATGATTTCGGGGCTTTTTTTTAGTGTCCCCGCGGCCCGGTCCTCGACCAGGCCTCCACCCCCAGGAAGCAGCCCGTGACAGCTGACTAACTCCCAGGTACCTATTTACTGCTAGGTAACAGGGGCATTCAGGGTGAAAGAAACTTTGCCCATTTGTTTCTGCCTCGT